ATTTTGCATGTCTTTAATTCCTCTATCCAGACAGCTTAATATCAAGGATCAAGGATATGAGTTGGTACCGGGAGGCAGGAAAATTACCCATATGCTATATATGGATGACTTAAAAATTTATGCCAAAAATGAAGAGGAGTTAAATAAAATGTTACGGACGGTTCAAACCTTTTCCTCTGACATCAACATGAAATTTGGGTTAGAGAAATGTGCCAGAATAAATATTGTCAGAGGAAAGTTAAAACAAAAGCAAAATATAGAAGACTCCGAAGAAGAACTTATTAAAGAATTGGACCCTGGATCATCATACAAATATCTGGGGATTGAAGAAAATTTTGGGATAGCCAACAAGGAAATTAAACCTCGATTGAAAAAAGAATATTTTAAAAGATTGAGGCTTATATTACAGTCGGAACTGAATGGAAGAAATAAGATAACCGCCGTCGGCACATTAGCAGTTCCTGTAATAGAATATAGTTTTGGCCTCGTAGACTGGACGAAAGAAGAAATCACGCACCTAGATAGAAGGACAAGAAAAATATTAACCATGAATGGTGCGTTACATCCAAAGGCTGATGTGGATAGATTGTACGTCAGCAGGAAAGATGGAGGAAGAGGATTACGACAAATAGAAGCGGCATACCAGAATGCCATAATTGGAATGGGAAAATACATAGAATCCCATCGAGAGGACCCCATCTTAGCCCAAGTTATACATGCAGAAGAAAAAACTACAAAAAAAGGAGTTCTAAAAAGGGCAAAACAAATCGTCCAAGAAAATAAAGAAAACGAGATAATGGAAGAGGGGCAACTTGCAACTTATAATAGCAAAGCCCAATCTCAGAAGAAATTAATAGGCAAATGGGAACAGAAAAAATTACATGGGCAATACCTAAAAAGAATAAATGCCGAAGATATTAATAAGAAGAGCACGCACAATTGGCTACGGCGTGGAAAACTTAAAATTGAAACAGAAGCCTTTATTACAGCGGCTCAAGATCAGGCATTGCGGACCCATAACTATGAAAAAGTAATTCTCAAAGTCCGCCAAGATGACAAGTGCCGAATTTGCCAATCACAATCGGAAACCATCGATCATTTAATTTCCGGTTGTCCGATACTGGCAAAACATGAATACTTAGAAAGGCACAATAAAATATGTCAATATCTCCATTGGAATATATGCCGAGAATATGGAATGGATGGATTACCCAAGGAGTGGTACAACCACATTCCAAGCCCGGTTACGACAGTAGGTCCATGCACAGTTCTATATGATCAACAAATCCACACTGATAGAACTGTGCCAGCTAACAAACCGGATATCATCCTCAGGCATAATGGGGAAAAATGGTGTAAGTTAATTGAGGTATCCGTGCCGGCAGAAAAAAACACCACAGCCAAAGAAGCAGACAAAAGGCTGAAATACAGAAATTTGGAAATTGAAATAACCAGGATGTGGGGAACAAAAACTGAAACGATTCCGGTCATCGTGGGAGCATTGGGAGCCATGCCAAATTCAATAAAAGGAAATTTAAAGAAGATTATGAAGAACCTAAAAGAAGAAACCATCCAGGAAATCGCACTATGTGGGACGGCCCACATTCTTCGGAAAATATTATAAATAGCACCACCGATATTCGAGTATTTGTCCCTAAGGAATCGGGTAGAGACCTGGGATAAATGCTTAAAAACCCCGACAAATAAGAGCCTTGTCGTGTTTAAGAGTGACCATAATAATAATAATAATAATAATAATAATAATGATAGTAATAATAATAATGATAGTAATAATAATAATGATAATAATAATAATAACAAAAATATGATTATTATTCAAAATAATTTTTTTTTGTTCTAAACCGTTTTGATGTGTCGAAAAGTTTTCTTTTTTTCTTTTTTCTTTTTTTTTTTACTTATTATCATTATTATCATTCCGATCGGGATGCTAAAAAAAAAAAAAAAAAAAAAATTTCAATATTTAAAAGTTAGAAAAAAAAAGGGAAAGTTTTTAAGTAGTTTTTTTTGTTTTTCCATTTTTTTTTTTTTTTGAAATTCAATTATTTTACAAAAAAAAAAATTTCCCAAAGAAAAAGGAAAACTTTTTTTTAAAATAAGTTTTAAAATTCTATTGAATGATAAAAAAGAGGAGGAGAAAAAGGAGAAGGAGGAGAAAGAGGAGAGGGAAAATGGGATGAAGAGGAGGAGGAGGAGGAGGAAGAAGAAAAAAAAAAGCTTTGGACAAAATCAATTTTTTTTTTTTTTTAATTTAAACCTCATTATGAATAATAATTATTTATTATCATCATCATCGTCATTGTATATAATAATAATAATAATAATAATAATAATAATAATGATAATAATAACTCCCGTATTTTGTTCGGAAATGATAATTTTTAAACGTATTCGAAGATTTGTTTGTTTTTGTTTAAAGTCGTGGCATTAGATTTTGTTTTTTGTTTTTTTTTTTTTTTTTTTTTGAAAATTATCCAACGAAAAAAAAAAGGGTTTCGAATGTTTAAAAATCAATGGTGAAGAGCATTTCCGGTTTCGTTGACATCTTGAAAAAGAATAATTCGGTTGGAAAAAAACAAAAATTTCAATTTAAATTCGTTTATGTATAAAAGATTTTCTCTCTCTCTCTCTCTCTCTGTAAAAAGGAAAAACTGGGAATAATTTACAAATCAAAAGAGAATATATAATGATAATAATGATGATGATGAAGGAAATAAAGTATTATCCTTTTAAATGATAAAATTACAACGGTAATGCGATTATTATATATATATTTATATGTATTTTGGCAATGACCCACTAGCCTTAAGTTATATAAGAGGTTTAACCCATTCTTAACGTTATTAAAGTCGAATTGAAATTGACAGTAAGTGGCAGATGGTTTTAACTGTTTTATGTAATTTTATTTTTATTTTTATTTCACTCTCTCTCTCTCTCTCTCTCTCTCTCTCTCTCTTTTTATCATTCATTCATTCTCTCTCTTTCTCATTCTATTTTTTTTTTATTTTCTTTACCATTTTTACTTTCTTTTTTGTTTATTTTTTTCTCTTTTTTTTCCTCCCTTTCGTCCATTTCTTTTTCTCTTTCTCTCCTTTCTATCATTTAGTTCCTTTTAGTCCTTCTCTCTCTTTTTTTTTTCTTTCTTTTATTAATTTTTTTTCTTTATCATTTTTTACTTTTTTTTCTCTTCCTTTTTTTCCTTCCCTTTGTTCATCTCTCTCTCTCTCTCTCTCTCTCTCTCTCTACCTTTTTCCTTTCTTTTTCTTTTTTTTTCTTTATTTCTCTCTTTCTCTTGTTCTCTCTCTCTCTCTCTCTCTTTATTTTTTTCTTCTTTTTTTGTTTTTTGTTTTTTTCTTCTTGATTTGTTTTTCTATCTGAAATTTTTTACTTTCTTTATTTTTATTCTCTTTTTTTCCTTACTTTCCTTTCTCTCTCTCTCTCCCTTTCTTTTCTTTCACTCATTTTTCTCTTTATCATGTTTTACTCTCTTTTTTTCTTCTCCTTTTCAAATTTACATTTCCTTTTACACTTCTCCTTCTCTCTTTTCATTCATTTATCCTTCTCTTTGTCATTATCTCCCTTTTGACCATTTCTCTTTCTTTCTCTTTTTTCCCTTTTTTTTTATTCAGTTCTTTTTCATATACTCTCTCTGCCTTTCTCTCTCCCTCTTCTTTTCTCTCACTCATTTCCTTTTGTTTACTGCGTTTCACATTCTTTCTCTTTTCTTTCTCCCTCTCTTACTATTTTTTATTCTTTATTACTCGCCCTCTTTCTCTCTCTCTCTGACACATGATATTAACATAAACATCATCATAACCATAAAAGTGTGAATGATGCAGTAGTAATAATAATAATAATAATAATAAATAACAAAACATGTTTGTTAAAGGATATTCGATATGCAATAAATCGAATATCGGAAGAGTAGCAGAAGACAAAATTGTTGTTGTTGTTGTTAAACGCGTTTAGATAATGATAATAATAAAATAAAAATACGACGTTGAATTTTTTTTTAAAAAAGGAAAAAACAAAAAAATTTGTTGTTAAATCGTTCGGAAAAATAAATATTATAATATATGTAAAAAAAAAAAATTTCGACCACCTACCGAATCCAATATTCGTCTCAATATTTTTTTCTGTCGTGCCTTTTGACCCCCGCGTTTTTTGTTTTGTTTTATCGTCGTGACGGGACGGGAAAGCAAGAAAAACAATTATTGGGAGGGGGGAAGGGTGGGGGGATTTTCTTAATTTGTTTCGCAAATTTAAAAAACGACGAATTTTTTTTTTTTTTTGACGTGTCAAAATTACAATTTTAATCTAAAATTGTAAATTTTTTTTTATGCCGGTGGGGTTGGTAGGCGTGATGGATTCCTGCTGTTTTTTTTTTTTTTTTTTTTTTTTAAAATCATTCATCAATTTTCGAGGGTTGGACTGAGCCGCCGCTGCCGAAACCCCCTTTCCCCGCCCCCCTCGCCATCACCCTTAAATATTTACACCTTTAATAAAAAAAAAATTTGTTACGTGTTACGATCCGATACTTTGCCGACAAAGGAAATTTTTTTTTTTTGTTTCCTTTGTCGCAAAAAAAACAATTGCAATATTGTAAATTAATGATGCTCGTAACGTTTTCCAATAGAGCGAGAATAATGATGATGATGATGATAATAATAATAACGACTCGCAACAGTTATAATAATAACGGAAAAAAGGAAAACGATGACGATACGCGCTGGAGGAAAAGGGGAAAAAATTTATAATTAAAAAAAAAAAAATTTTGTCGTGGCACCAGAAAAAAAAAATTTTATTTACAAAAAAAAAATTGACTAGAAAGTGATTTGCATATAATTAAACAAAAAAAAAAAATAATAATAATAAAAACTCTCGTGTGCATCATACAAAAATCACAAAAAAAAAAAATAAATATTTTTCATAAGTTGGCAACACTCGTGTGCGATCGATATACATAATAATAATGATAATAATCATAACAAACCCGATTTTTCTCTTTCTAATAAATCGCAAAGTGCGTGTATGTAACTTTGAGCCATTTGTAATGTTTCAAATTTTGATAATTTATGATCGGCTCCCAATGAGGGTATGACTTCTCTCAATCTATCGAACGCTTCGTTCAAACCGTTCATTCTCCTTCTTTCTCTCGCGTTTGCTGCCAAACGTCTTTTTTTTAAAACGGCCGGCGGCGGCGTTCTATCAATCGTCATTTTTCTCCTTCCACGTCCTCTTCCGCCTCCACCACCGCCACCTCTATAACTTGGAATTTTTCGTAGTTTTAAAAAGCTCGCGTTTTTTATTGGAAAATTTGGATGTTGTACGAAATCCCCAACGTTGTCGTTCTCGTTGTTGTTGTTGTTGTTGTTTTTTTCTGACGTCATACCAAACGTTCCTACACCGTAATCGATATTTGTAACGGTTTTATTTCCAACCGGAAGTGACGTAAATGCCGAATATCTCGAATGATCCGTTTTACCGCCACCACCACCACCACCACCGCCACCTACGCAATAATTTTCTCCGACGTTTGTTTGATAAATTTTTGTCTTTGGTTCACCGTAAAGCTTCGAACAGTTCGGACTAGATGATATATCGTGATAATCGTTTAAATTCGTGACGTAAACATCGTCGCCATTTTTTTTAAATTTTGTTTCGTCTGGAATTCTTAAATAACAAGATTCAATATGTCTCGCTGATTGCACGTCGAATATGTTATCGTACCTTGATTGTTTGTAATCGTCACAATACGAAAAATCCATTTTTCCTACGTAAAACGTAACGCGAACCTGAAAAATAACGATGATGATAATAATGATAAGGTTTTTTTAAAATTAAAAAAGAAAAATTTTGCACTCACCGATTCGTGTCATGTCTTCGAAAAAAATTTTTTTTTTTTTTTTCGGCTTAGTTTACGTTCGGCATGGTTGAATTAAAACAAATTAGGTACGGGTAGCAAATTAAGAATAATACCTGTTTTCTTTAACGAAATGAAAAAAAAAAATTTATTAGGTTCGTTTGATGCAAATTTTTTCCAAATCGATTAATTAAATTTTTGAATTTAAATTAAAAAATTGGATAAATTTAATTTTATTTTTTTTTGTCGTGCCTTTAGTTATTCAAGGCACAAAGCCAAAATTACTTTAGGCGTGGGTGTACCTTAAAAAAAAAAAATTTTTTTCTTTTGCCACTTTCTCGACCTCAATAAAAATTGCCAAACTTTTTTTTTTTTTTTTTTTAAATATTTTAACTCGTTCGCGTTTTTTTTTTTTTCGTACACGTCAAAAAAAAGTTATGACGTGGAAGTAGAAAGTTTTTTTTTTTTAAATTAACTCGAAATATTTTTTAACGAAACGGAAACGGAAAAGTAAAAATTTAAAATTGAAAACGTAATTTAAAAAAAAATTTTTTTTTTTTTGTTTTTCTACTGACACTTTTACCGATTTAAAAAAAAAAAATCGATCGATAAATTTTCACGCACCGATTTATTATTATTATTATTAAAAAAAAAAAAAATGAATGAATGATGAAATTTTTTTTTTCGAAAATCACAAATCAAAAAAAAAAAAAAAAAAAAAATCACTAAAAAATAATTAATTTAAAAAAAAAAAAAAAATCACTAAAAAATAATTAATTTAAAAAAAAAAAAAAAAACTTGAAACTGGAAAATAGGTACCCAAAAGAAGCAACTGGAACCTTCGACAAACAAAAATAACCTCTTGTCTATATACCAAATGTTGTCCAAAAATAAAAAAAAATGAATCCAACTGTTCCTTCCTTCCTTCCTTCCTTCCGTCCTTCTTTCCTCTTTTTTAACACTATAATTTTATTAAGAACACCACCACCCTTGTGGTTCGGGGGAGGAGAGGGAGAAAAGAGGCGCGGGGAGCGGGGCGGTACGATCGAATATTTACAGGTCTCACAAGACGTTTGTTATATTATTTTAAAAAAAAAAAACAACTAGAGTCACGTGATATTTAAAATTAACCAATCGCGAGGGTCCCACACCGCGAAAATAACATTTGAGTGGTAGAAAAAACGAAAACAAAACTAGTTCGCGAAATCTTCTGCTTTTTTCGTTATAATCACGTGACACGTCCGCCATCTTCATTTGTAAATTTTGCAGTACTGACAACATAAAAAAAAAAAATTGATTTGATCGACTCAAACGTGTCTTTAATTTATTTATTTTAGCGAATTCATAAAAAGTGTCAATAGAAAACAAAATTTTATATTATTGGTTCGGAAGTTTCAAAAATTTTCCGACGGAATATTAGAATGAAAAAGAGGGGGGGGAATACAGTAACAAACGAACGTTTAAGGTTTGCTCCAAACGGAAATGAACGGGGATTAAGAATGGCGTTCGTCTAAGGTTTCGTCGTGGTTTTTATTTGTACTAAAAAATTTTTTCGTTAGCAGATGACACGTCTCAACAAGAAAAAAAAACCTGAAAATTAGTTTTGCACCTGAATGCAAATACGTGGGAGTCCATCTCAATAATTTACTTTTTTGAATTAATAACAAACCCAACAACAACAACCGAGTTGTTGTTATTGTTTTAGGTACCGTAAAAAAAAAAAAAGTTGAAATTTTTAATTTATTAGGTCGAGTTTATTATTATCATTATTATTATTATCATCATCGTCGTCGTCGTCGTAGTTTTACGTTCAGGTACGCACAGGTGAGAATGAAAAAAAAAATTAATGTGGTTTTTTTTTTTTAATATGAATTTTAAATGCGTTCGTAATGAGATCGATATATGAGATAACGCGCGCGTATCGTAATATATTGTAATGACGTATGCACGCGAACGCGCACGCACTCACTTCCACACCTTTCCTATCTCTTTCTTTCCCTCTCTCTCCAGAAGAAAAAATTTTGCATTTCGATTCGAAACACACAAACCAACCGAACGTCGTCGGCAGTTTATTATTATTATTATTTTCACTTTTGAACGCGACGACGACGACGACGACGACAACCTTCTTTAAATACTTGTCGGAGTTTTATTATTATTATTATTATCATTATTATTATTATTAGGATTTTGTAATAAAATTTAAATTGTTAGTCACAAGTGACCCATTTATTTGATAACTCTCTCTCTCGAAAAAATTTTAATTTAAAATTTTTTTTTAATCGAATTTTTCCCTCCCCACCCTCCCCCCTCCTTCTCTTCATTTCTTTCCTTTTTTTCCCTTTTCCCGGATAAATAAGAAAAAAGGAATGGGGGAAGAGAGGGGGAAAGGAAGAAGATAATAAGAAAGAAGGAGTAAAAGAAAAAGAAGAAGAAGGAGAAAAGGAAAACAACTTTAAATTTTTCGTTAAATTTATAATTAATGAAGTAATAATAATAATAATAATTGTTGTTTTTTGTTGTTGCGATTACGTCATTAAAAGTTATCATTATTATCATTATCATCATTATTATTATCATCGAGGGGTGTTTTTTTTTTGTTTTTAATTTGATGTTGTCGGTAATGCGGATTTAAATTTTTTTTTTTATTATTTTAGGTTTTCCGATTTTGTTGGTATTGTTGTTGTTGTTGTTTTTTTTTTTTTTGGAAAGTTCTGGAAAAATGATGGTGGAGAAATGATAATAATAATAATAATGATAAAAGAGGAAACCGCGTCGATAAACTTTAAAAAATATTTTTTTTTGTTTTTTATTTAAAAAAAAAAACGCGTCGCTTTAAATAGAATCAATTTTTTAATAATAATAATAATAATAATAATAATAATGATAATTTACTTCCATAAATTTTTCTTTTACCTCCCCACCTTCTCCTCCTTCTTCTCTTCCCCTCCTTTTTTTCAACATCTTAAAATTTTTCGACCGTTTCCGGTTTATTTATTTAATTCTTAACCGACGGATGAGAAAATTTGCAAAATTCTCTCTCTGATGTCGGTTCCAAACGTAAACGATAACGAATTTTTACGTCATCATTTTTTTTATCATTATTATTCTTATTTTTTTCGGGATCAGGTTTGCCAACTTTAGGAAAAGAACTAAAATAAAATTTAAATATTACGTAACGTTACGCGTAAATCGGTCGCGTGTCCGTCGCTACGCCCTCGAAAAAAAAATTCTTATTTATTTATCTGTGATTGCAAAATAATAATAATAATAATAATAATAATAATAATAATAATAATAATAATAATATTAATAAAAATAATAATAATAACAGTGACGTAAAAACGTGTTTTATTGTGGGGTTCGTGGCACCAAACGACAATTTTTTTTTTTTTTTTTTGAAACGGTGGAGAAATGATTCAGGGAAAAATTTCATTTATGACGTACGAAGAAAAAAGAAAAAATTATTTTTGTTTTTTGATTACGCGTGCGTATGTGCGTGTGTGCGTAAGTACGTACGTGCGTACGCACGCACGCACGTGGCACGATCCAATTGTAATTATAAGACAAAAGAAAAAGATCCGAAAGAAGATAAATAAGAAATTTCCGACCTGGCGTTGTAACCGATTCAAGATTTTTATGAACTTCCGGACACCTTTTGACTATTAACGATAAAAAAAAAAACCTGGAAAAAATTTGCATTTTTTTTTTTGTTTTTATTAAGTTGGTAGTAATTAAAATTTTTTTTTTTTTTTGTAATTCACAAAAATGATAAAAATTTTCTGGGGAGAAATAAAAAAAAAAAAAAAATTTTCGATGGTTTTCCATAAGCTGTAAATGATTTTCGATTGTTGTATATATATGTAATAAACGTTTCCGTTCCGGTTGTTTGGTTTTTTTTCTTTTCAAGCGTTTGTTTGTTTGTTTGTTTGCGTTTGCCCTGTCATCGATTTAATAATAATATTTTAAAATTTTTCAATTTGCAATATGGAATTTTTTTTTTTTCGTTTTATTTTGAATCGAAAGGAAATTAAAAAAAAAAAAGTTGAATGTATAAAAGGTACGACGACGACGACGACGAATTGCATTAAATTAACGTGGAACGAGATTCATTCATTTTTTTTTTCGCACGATCGAACGAATGCATGGATGAACAACGCAAAAAAAATTTTTTTAAATTTTTTTGTTGGTGACACGGCAAAAAAAAAAATAAAATAACGTTCGATCCTTTTTTTTTTTTTTATTTTTCAACAGGAAATTATTAGTTTGCCATTATTATTATTATTATTTTATCGAACGTGGTTTTAGATAAAGAAAAAATTTATTTATTTATTTTTTTACACGTTATAAAATTTTTTTCTATTTTTTTTTCATTAAAATTTTAAATAATAATAATAATAAAGATCGGGTGTGCGTGATGTAGTTCGCATATGTGACGTTGTCTAATTCCACGTACGTATCGCACGATCCGATACACGGCTAATAATAATAAAAATCATCATCCTACTGTTTAATATTTATTTAATGGGGTGCCATAATTGGCGAAGTGTGTCATTTTTATAAACCATAAGGAGGGATCCCGTCCCCCCCATCCCTTTATACCTTTTTTTTTTTTTTTTGGGTACCGTGACGAAAGATTTTTTTTTTCTCCATTCGAGGGTAAAAAAAAAAACAACGACTGGAGAACATCTACGTCATCACCTTTTCCAAAAAAATAAATAATAACCGTAATTTATTGAATGAATTATTATTATTATTACTGAATTTTTTTTTTTTTTTGTATTTACGATTTTATCGGTTTTGAAAAGTTGTTGACGTCATTTTTTGTGCGTGAGGTGCGTAAGGTGGTGCGTAAGGTACGTGAGGAAAGGGGTTGATGAAAGATTGGTTCTGTCGCAAAATCAGATTTCATTCTTTTTATTTATTTATTTATTCTTCTTCCACGATTTTCAAGTCTCGTTATTAATAACGTTGAAAAAATAAATAAATAAACGTAATAAAAAAATTTTTTTCTGT